TCAGGGCCCGAGAGGGAACGTGTGGTTCCAGTAGCTTGGAGAGATAAAGGGGTGCGAGGCCATTTGGTCAACAGAAGAATTTTAGACTATCCTCGTACGAACAGGGAGCCAATGAAGGGAGGACAGAACTGGAGTAATATGTTCAGACCTACGAGTTCCGGTTAAAAGCCGAGCAGCAGCATTCTGGACGAGATGAAGACGTGAGATGGAGGCCTGGCTGACCCCAGCATAGAGTGCACTCATTTCAATTTGTTTTTGGCCTAATTCAGCAAAAATGTGCTCGCTTCACTCCCTTCTGTTAATTTAAGCTTCTTTCTGCCTTTTTAGCTACTTTTCAGCAGTTTTTAATGCTAATTTCAGCATTTTTTTCTGCTAATTTTCACTTTTTTGTGCTTATTTCCACTTCAAGCCTACATTGGGCAAACATGTCTATCTGCTTTCTTCTGATCATTTACTCTTGTTTTACATTTTAAACTTTCTTTTTAGCATTTTTTTTAACTAATTTCAGCTGTTTTCAGATAAATTCAAGTTTTTCATGGCAATTTTTTCTGCTTTCAACCTAATTAACTTCTTTATGCAAATTTTAGCTTGTTGTTCTTCAGCTTTTTCTGCTATTTTAGTTTCTATTTAGCTAATGTTTGCTAATTTTATCTTTTTCTGTTAATTCCACAATGTTTTAATCTTGTTTCAGATCTTTCATCCTTCTAGTAGTTTAAGCTTCTATCTGTCTTTTCAGCTTCAGCTGTTTTTTTTTTTGTTGTTGTTGCTAATTTCAGCTTTTTTAGCTAATTTCCTTTTTTTGTTGTTGTTCTAATTTCTGCTTATTTAAACATAATTCAACATATAAATGTTATTTCTGCTTTCTTTTGTTTATTTAGGCCTGTTCTTCAATTTCAGCTATAATTCAGTATGCGTTTAACTAATTTCAGCTGTTTTTCAAACTTCTTCAGCAACAAGCATTCACACTACATTTTCCCAGGAAATGCAATTTAGTTAATTTTATGTTGCTACTTATGTTGAGAAATGACCAGTATAAGTTTGTGGTAAAACACTAAAAAACATTTTGCACCATCTAAACTTAAATATAGTGCGATCTCATGTGATCTGTTAGCACTCGGAGCACGTGTTGAAGATGACTATCAGCTACTTGCACAAATTCAAACTTAACGTGTGTAAAATTGGCTGAGCTGTATCCATGTTTCGTGCTGGCTGTAGTCGTTTGCTGTGGCATCTTAAATTGTGCTGACCCTAAAAGTTAACTAGTTCTAGATGTGTATCCATCAATTCTACTCTAAGAGTTTAGTTCAAATGTGGGTCCATTGATGAGGGAATAAATCTGCGTTGAAAGTTTCTGTCTCTGTGTTTTCAGCCCCACAGGTTCTGCTGCGGGACGTAAACCCACACTGACTGGAGCTTGAGGTTCAAACAATTAATGTCCCCTAATTTTTTTTATTTTTTTTAAGCATCCCAGCCTCTTTTCTCTCGTCTGGGTCCACGCTCTCTGCGGGAGAGCAGGAAAAGGCTGTCTTCATGTCTGCTGGTGCTGCCCATGTGAAACAAGGAAAGACAATTAGGGGCTTATTAGGGTCTCAGGGAGATGTACCTCACGGGGTGTCCGCTCGCTGACTTGGCCCCAGCTCTGGTCTGCTGCCATAGCTTGAAACAGTCAGGGGCATTGTCTCACCTAATTACGGTGAAACCAGGGGCCCCCTTTTTTTGTGTTACCACCGCCGTCCCTGTCCACTTCCTCTCTCCTGCCTGACTGCCCGTCCCCGTCCACTGTAGAAGTGTGCTAATTAGACTAGAAACAGGTCTGAGTAATTATGTCAGCTCTTGTTAGAAGCTGCCACATAATATTATGCTGTCAAGAAAGTTTTGGAGTTGGAGAGTGGAGCTTTCCTCATTACTGCAACATCTGCACAAGCAACACATTCAATAAGTTCAAGTTCCCTGACAAACTTCAGAACAAACAGATGCAGTCATGACAACAACATCAAGTTATTGCCCTAATTAATGCTTTGAGGCCACAGAATAAAACGATGAATAACCGATGGCACATTGTTTGGACTGTGGGAGCTTTGTGTTTCTTCAACCCATTAGGATGTTTTGATCAACGGCTGTTTGGTGACCCAGCTCTCTAAATGCTGAGTTCTGGAAAATGGCAATTAGCTCGATTAGAGGAGCCATTTCTGCAGCTTCTAACAAAGACAGAGCAGAAAGTGCTGAACAAGCCCAATGGTCGAGTTGAGTTGATGCCATGGTGAAACACTTCGAGCTCTCGTGTGCATCAGTTTAGCTTTTATGATCGCTCTACAAAATGAGGCTCAGCTTGTGGCTGCACATGTTCAATGCTTTTAATGGTGCACAAGTGTTTCATTCCAACAGGTTTCACTAGTTCAATAAAATAAACATTTGTTTATCTTTGGAAACAGCTGAAGTGAATAGGTCGTTCATGAAAGAGCTGTTTGGGATGGAAAAATGACTGTTTTGATGTACTGGTAGGTTTTCCACTCACATGCATTGAGTAAAGTGTGCAGATAAAGTTAACTCTTTCAAACTGCATCGCTGATAGTTCAGGGTAATATTATTTATGATTTGATTGTTTTCAATATTCAGTTCCCACCTTTGATTATTATTTTTTTTGTTTTGCCACAATGAGCTGTGTGTGCAGCAGGTTTGTCTGTTTGATTGGATTGCTTTTTTTTTTTGGTGCAATTTGTTCTTTTAAATTAGTACAATTGTACATTTAATCAATATTTAAACAAGTCAATATTTCATTGGTTCTCTACTCAAAGGAAGCATTCTGAACGCTTCATTAATAAAAATCAAAAAGTGGCAGCCAAAATCAATCAGAACATTAAAGAGACGAATAGATGCAGGAAACAAAATCCCATGAAACAAGAAACAGTTCATGTCATTAGAAGAGCTGCTGGATGAAAGATTTACATTAAAAAAAAAAAAGTATTCGGTCTTCAACAGATCACGACCTTAAATGACTTTTTGTACTTTTTCCTTAAACATTTATTAAAAACACAATAATGTTTTACAGATTTTAAAGTTACAAGTTGTTTATGTGTTCAACATGAGGCCTGCAGCAACATGCTCATATCAAACATGAACTGTTCAAACATCATTGTTAAAAAAAATATAATGCTAAATATTCATTCATTCATTCAACCTTTATTTAGACAGATTAATCACATTGAGCTTCTGGGACGCATTTACCTGTATCAGGGGTCTTTCCAGATTTTACAGCATCTTTTCTTTGGACTGAGGTGGACAGCAGTGAAGGTACTTCACCCTGAGAGGGGAAACCTCTTCAGCTGCTCATTCCTCCAATTTAGATTTCAGACAAACTGCTCGTGATCTGATGTCAAACTGACGGTCAGAGTGTGGCGGCCTGTCTCGTGGGGCCCCCACAGTCCCACGGGAGCAGCCTGGTTATTTATTTATTCATCGCGACACAAGATGTCCCATTGATGGCTGTTGCGCGTCCCCTCATCTCCATAAAGTCTCCCCTGCGCCCGATTGTGCGTCCAGATGTCCGAAAGCGTGCCGCAGATGACCTCCGCGCCACCGGGACTGCGCCCTAATTGAATAATGGCTGATTAGAGGAGATTAGAGGACGGGGGGAGCGTCTTTCACCTCATTTCCAGGTCTGAACCGAGTTTATTTGGGGCCGAGGAGGATTTCCTAAACGTCTCGTTCTGCTCTCACTTTCCAAATCGGATTAACTCTGATGAGACCTGCGTCAGGATTTGATTCCAAACCCAGAACTATATAAAAAAAACCACTTGAACCTAAAGAGTGGGGGGAGTCAGTGTTTGTCTATAGTGTTTAACTCCCACCCTGGTGTCCTAAATACCCCGAACTGGGACATATTTACCGTGCGCCCCCCCCCCCCCCCCCCCCCGGGAAGAAAAGCACAATAATAATGATAATAATAATAAACCTGATGAACAGATGCACAGATTGTTCTCAAAGACAAAAACACTGTTTGTGAACAAACCCAATTAGAATATGCAAATGAGAGCAGGAGTTCTTCTTGGTTCTGATCCATTCACTGACGTGCGTGTTTTTATTTTTTATCATTTGATTTTTATTTAGAAAAAATAAACTTTACTTGTTCCTTCTCTTTATCTGTTCACGTATAAAATAAGTTTCAATTTGTTGCTGTAAGAAATATTAGTAAAAATCTCTGTTAAATGCAGCTCAGTTAAAGCAACCATATATGATAATATCTATTTATTATCATTATTATTATTATTTATATAATAATAGCTTTATGTTGGACTAATTTGGGCTCCTTAATATTATATATCTATATAGGCCTATTGTTTCGATTTGCTAAAGTTTGTTTTTAATAATTCAGATAAAGGCAGCAGTTGCAATATTTTATTAATCTGGTTCTTTTAATCTTTTCGACTTTATTCAGCAGCTATTAAATAAATAAAATATAAATATAAGAGCTATAAATTCAGATGTTCTGTTTCGGTTCAGTTCAGAAGCTGATTTTTATTAAATGATGAAGAATTTTGATGAAATCTCGTCAGGTTTTGCAGCAGAGCAGAGATGTGAGAGTTTTGAGCAGCTTGTTGTAGTCAGCTGCTGCAGGAACCTTGTTGTCAGCTGTAGCAGCTGCAGGAACCTTGTTGTCAGCTGTAGGAGCTGCAGGAACCTTGTTGTCA